TCTGGGAGAGAGTAACCCGGCGACCGCCCCACAAGCTGCCGCAGCAAACAGTGCACCAGAAGCTTCCGAAAACATCCAAATCCCTCAGTCGGTTTCTGACCAAACCTTTCAGGACAATTTCGTCAAGCGACAGTTTGAACTGGAGAGGGAATTCAGCTCCAAGAGGTTAGAGTTCGAGCTGGAAGGTGGACTTCCCGTCCAAGGTTGGGTTCAATTCTATAATGCCAAGTACTATCTCCCGACTTGTCCTGGAAGTTCTGGGGCGGCTGTCATCTGTTGCTTCGAGATGGATGGAGAAACACACAAAATGGCATTGCCTCACTCCAGAAGTCCGGCCGATATAGGCCAAAGCCTGGATGGAGTGCTGATAAACCCCTTAGTAAACTTACTTAAGGTGAAGCAGTAACGCTCATTTCAACCATGCCCCCCCCCCTTCCCACTATACATCCCCCCTCCCCGGTCGATCCACCAACACTTCTCCTTTTCCTCCTGCTCTTCAAAAGGAGGTGAGAAAGGAGGAGAATGAGAAGGATAGAAGAAAGAGTAGGAGGAGAAGGAAGACTAGAAGGAGGAGAAGAAGAAGAAGCAGAAGAAGAAGAAGAAGAAGAAGAGGATGAGGAGGAGGGTAGAAGAAAGAGGAGGAGGAGGAAGAGGAAAAATAAGATGATGAAGAAAATAATTTGATTTGTACATGCCATTGATGTTACTCTAAAAAGCCAATTAAAGAGATCAGGTTGTGGATTTACACATTGGAATATTCATCTTTGAACTTCCCTCTTGTTTGATATTATTAATAATTAACTATTACTGTATTCGTAGTTGTTGGATGTTAATAGTTCATACAATATTTTATCGTATTCGTAGCCGTTAGTTGTTAAGAAATAATACATACATGTATTATCGTATTCGTAGTCGTTGGTTGTTAACAAAGAGTCTTCATAACAAGAGGGGCCACTTCTCTCTTTGAGCCAATTAAAAAAATGTCCTCAAAATTCGGTGGCGCCCTCTTCGCAAAAGCACACCTTTTGCGAACAGAGTTACCCTACTTGAGTTTAAAAAATCAAAGTGAAAC